TCTTGGCTCACTGCAATCTCCGCCTCCCAAGTTCAAGAGATTCTCCTGCCTCAGCCTCCTGAGTAGCTGGGACTATAGGCACACGCCACCAAACCCGGCTAATTTTTGTTTTCTTAGCAGAGACGGGGTTTCACATGTTGGTCAGGCTGGTCTCTAACTGCTGGTTTCGGGATCCGTCCGCCTTGACCTCCCAAAGTGCTGAGATTACAGGCGTGAGCCCCGGCTCCCGGCAGGGAGAGATAATTCTTAGAAGATACTTCTATCTTACTAAAATGCCTTCTAAGCACCTACCATGAGTCAGGCCCTGGGCTCAGTGCTGTGAACTCGCAGCTGGTGGACTCGTGTCTGACCTCCAGGCGCTCCCAGCGTGGTGGGGCAGACAGGGGCAGACCAGATACCTACAGTGCAGTGTGAGACGTGCAGGGGGGTTGGGACTGCGGGTGCAGGGCGGGAGTCCAGTACTTCTTTCTGGTGAGAGAGGAGGAGGAAGAAAGCTCTGCAGAGGTCCTCATGGGGGAAGGAAGGACAGACTCAGGAGAAAGGCTTAGGACACAGAGGCCAAAGGGCTTGGCTCCTGTTCAGACGGGGCAGGAGAAAGAAAGCCTTGATGGGAGGCATCTGGGCAGCCAGCATTGGGTGGTGGTGCCAGCTGCTGGGCCAGGGAAGATGGAGGAGGAGCAGATGCCCCTGGGACGATGCTTGGTCCTAGGTGTGCTGCCCAAAGTCCGGAGCTCAGCAGAGGGGCTGGGACTGCGTGTTAACTCCAAGGTCAGACTGAATCCAGAGAATGAGTGAGATCCCGAGGCAGGATGGAGAGCCCTGGGTCCCTCTCGGGCTACTGTGGTCTGAGAAGGCCCAAGGACTTTGGGCTCGGCTCCCACTTGGCAGGCACGGAGTTCTGAGCATTTGTCGCTCCTGCCCTCCTGATGCTCACACTCTTTGAGGAAGCCCGAATCTCCCCCTTTTTATAGCTGGCTCTGAAGAGGGAGCGGCCCCCCTCCCCCACCCAGCGCATGTTCCCTTACCTTCTCTTCCAGGGTTTCCACCGTCCCACTCCTCTCTCCATTACCAGCCTTTCCTCCCTAGGCTGGAGAGGTGTAAAATCTTCTTTGGACTTTGGTCAAAGAGGTTTCAGTCTCAAAGGACCCCCGTCAAGCTTTGAGCTGACCCACTCCTGCCCTGGATCCCAGGGTTGTCATGGCAACAGGTGACAATTGCCTGCGTTCTCCCGGTGATTCAGGGCAGGGGCGCTCACTCCATCTTCCCATGAGCCTCTGCCACTTCACAGGCAGCTTAAGGCCTGGAATGTGGCTTAGACAAATCTGGTCACCCTTGTGATCTCCCTTGCATAGTAGCAGGAGGAGAAGCCTGAGGCGGTCTGACCTGGAATGACCCCCCCACTCCCCCACCCCAGCCCCTGCCCCGCCCCACGTCCTGGGATGTACCTGTGGGACACAAGTTTCCCTCTGCCCCAGTTTCAGCCAGCAGAGGCCAGAGGGCTGGGGGTGGAAAGAATCGATGATGAGATGTGACTGAGTAAAGCAGGTGAGACTTGGAGACAGATCTTAGGAAGAACTTCCTGGTATTGATGGCTCTTTGATAGGAGACTGTCCTTGTAGTTGGCCTTGTATTTGAGAGAGAAAAAAGACGCTTTGGAGGGCATGGACCTCATTCCCACAACTCAGCCCCCTCTGCACTCACCACCACCGCTGTGGCTGAGAGGTTTTTATGGAGCACCTGCTTAGTGAACACTCTGGTTCCCTGAGCCAAGGACCCACGGATGGCTCCAGGCAGGTCTCATCTGCTCGTCTAATTGTCTCCACAGGGGCTGCAGCGCAGCTACTCTGAGGAATATCTGAGGAACCTACTTTGCAGGAAGAAGCTGGGAAGCAGGTGGGGTCTCTTGCACACACTCTGTGGGCTGGTGGATTGGGCTGGTGGATAGGGCTGGTTAGCAGCTGTGCTTGGGAAGCTAGCACTGGACAGCATGGCAGGGGCAGAGGGGCAGAATGACCAGCTTCTGGGGCTGGCTTTCGGGGGAGGGACTTCCCCTGAGGTCCCTGCACCTGCCTGGGTCTTTCTGCAGCTCCCACACCTCCAAGCATGGCTTCCTGTCCTGGGCCCGGGTCTGCTTGAGACACTGCATCTACACTCCACAGCCAGGTATGGGGTTGGGAGCTGAGGCCAAGCGTGACAGGGGACATCACCCTCCCTTGCACAGAACAGCTGCAGTGGAGGACTGGCTCCTGTTCCCTGGAATCCTTGCCATCGAGAGGGACAACTGCCAGCTCAGGACAGGGGAAAGACCCTGGCCCGGCCTTGGTCATCCAGGGTCCTGCTGGCCCTTTTTCTGGGCCCCTTGGGAGGGAGGAGGGTTCCCGGGCCTGAGTGGTGCTATTCTCACACTTCTTCTTTTGAGGACTGCAGGATTCCGTCTCCCCCTGAAGCTGGTGCTTTCAGCCACCCTGACAGGGACAGCCATTTACCAGGTATGCCCTGTACCCATCTGCCTCTGGAGCCCTGCCCTCTACCCCAAGCCCAGAGCGGCTTCGGCCCAACTCAGCTCTCCAGGTGCCCCATCCAGAATCCTGGCCAGCTGCTGCCAGCTATCTTGGGAATTCCCGCTTCCCCGTAAGGGCAGGGGTGTTCACTCTTGGACTCAAATAGTGACCCAGTGCATTCATTTTGGAGGCCACGTAAACGCGAATTTAAATCCTAGCTCCATTATTTACCTCCTGTGTGACCTTGGGCAAGTTATTTAACCTCTCTGAACCTGTTAGCTCATCTGCAAAAAGGAGGAAATAGAATAACTTTCCTCTTTGAGTAATTGGGAAGATTTAGTGAGATAACATGTTTGATAAACTCTGCCTCACCACCTCCAAGAAAAGCAAAAACAATTAAAATCCTGGGAGGTAGGTGTGATTTTCTCCACTTTACAGATGGGGAGAATGGAAGCTTGGCCAGGTGAATTTGACTTGGCCAAGTTTCTGCACAGCTAACATCTCAGCGGAGCCAAAGTTTGAATCCAACACTATCTAGGTTTAATGCCTGTGCTCATTTACTTTCAACAGCATAGAGAAACCGGAAATTTTACATTCCAAAGTTTAGATAGATAGATGATGGGGAAAGAAAGGTGCAGACACAGCCGTCCTTCAGTATCAGAGGTGGATTTCCAGGACGCCCCTCCATATCAAAATACAAAGGCTTATATTTGGCCGGGCGCGGTGGCTCAAGCCTGTAATCCTAGCACTTTGGGAGGCCAAGGCGGGCGGATCACGAGGTCAAGAGATCGAGACCATCCTGGTCAACATGGTGAAACCCCGTCTCTACTAAAAATACAAAAAATTAGCTGGGCATGGTGGCAAT